GTTCGTTAAGGATAATTAAACAGAATTATCTTTCGGACAAAAAAAAAAGAGAAATATTCTTCAAATATTTCACGAAACTACTAACGAAAAACACAAGGCAATGCAAGGGTGATGGTGAGTTTTTCCTTCAAGTGTTCTCAACTGTAAGAGTCGATTTCTTTTATGCATTTGACTTTCAATGAACATTTTACAGTGATAACAATACCAGCTCAACAAAATCGGTTCAGAAATACCGCATTTTATCCATCACAGTTTAAATCGTTATAACGTCTAATAAATCAACGATGCATTTTATATTTATTTAAATGTAGCGGCCCATACTAACGCTTGAGACGTACTCAGGAACGAAATGAACTACGATGCGAACCTCTAAACCCCGCCACCTCGACGTGTTATACACGCAACGAACTGTCGAACTCTACTAATGAGTTATAGTCCAGGCTGGATCGCTAACATGATTCTTATTCGATTTTTTTATAATCTTAATAAAAAAACGACTCTTGAAACATATCCTCATGTTGCAAGGCGTTAGTAATTAGTAATTTTCAACGTCAATAAACTATTAAACATTGCAATTTTTAGTGTTACCAAACTTCTTAAATAATCTTTGAACATCCTTTAACAATTATCCGAAGAGTTACGCCGGCATAGTTTATTCTGAATATTTGTTTTTTTTATTGTTAATAAGGCGCGCGCGCCGCGTTTCTCGGCCACTCTTGGCCGTCTCCGTATACTGTGTCTCTCTCGCACTCACTCGAAGTATACACTGAGCTCGTAAAGTTTGGAATAAATTCGACATATCGTTATTGAAGGGTTTTCACAGGAAATCCTCGGACACTTCAACTTTAGTTTATAAAATGTCACTTTTTTCAGCCATCGACTTTTTTTTGTTTTGTTTGTTTTCGAGCTATGACGTCATCGGCAATTTTTTTAAATGGCAACCCATATTTTTTTCCACGGATTTCGATAGAGCACATTTTTCTGAGTACGAATATGTCAAAAACGTATGACCTTCAAGATGGAAGTTTTCGAGATATTCGGTTCCAAAGTTTCAAGAATGCATTATACAAGCGATGACAAAATACTAATCATTTATCAAGGAAGCGCTGGAAAAATTACAGTTTTGATAGTTGAAGTTTGTCCTCGCAAGTTTGTGTTTTATTTTAAGTTGATTAATCATTATTCTATCAGAATTCATTTTATTTGAAAATGGTCCGTCGTTTGAGTGAAAGGGAAAGAATCAAAATTTTGATGATGATCGGGTACGGGGACAGAGCTCGCACACAAGTAGAAGTTTGCCGTTTATTTAACAACAAATATCCAAACAGAGAACCAATTACACAGTCCACGGTTAGTAAAATAGTGCAAAAGTTTTTAGAAATGGGCCATGCGAGAGATCGCCCTAGAACGGGTCGTCCACCAGTACAACAAGATGTTAAATTGAATATTCTAGTAGAGCTTCAAGAAAATCCCCATTTACCCACCCACCAAGTGGCGGTAAACAACGGAATAGTTCAAAGCTCCGTCTTAAAATATTTGAAATTTTACAAATGGCATCCGTATAAAGTGGTTTTGGTCCAACAATTAAACGAAGATGATCCTGACCGTAGGTTACAGTTTTGTGAAACCATGTTGCAACGCATGATTGATGACGACGGATTCTTATGCAATATTGTTTTTTCTGATGAGGATACCTTTTATCTCAACGGCACAGTAAACCTTGCCGGTTTACTGTGTAGATATTGATCTCCTGAAAATCCACACTGGGAAATGGAAACTCATAGTCAGTTTCCACAAAAAGTTAACGTTTGGGCTGGCCTTGTCGGTAACCGTATCTTGGGTCCATTTTTCATTGAAGGCGCATTAACAGGTGAAAAATATTTTAAATTTTTAAGAGACGATTTAATTCCTGCACCTGCGGTGCTTTACCCTAATGACGTAGATCCCGATCTGCCCAATAACACGATATGGTATCAACAAGACGGTGCAACTCCTCATTTTGCAGTGATCGTCCGCGACTATTTAAACCAAATATTTGCTAACCGTTGGATTGGTCCAAGAGGAACTATCGAATGGCCCCCTAGATCTCCGGATCTCACTCCCCTAGACTACTTTTTATGGGGCTATTTAAAGAGCAAAGTCTACTTCAATAGACCAAATACCATTGAAGAATTAAAGGACAGAATTCGCAATGAAATTCGAGCCATTCAACCAGATATTCTTCATAAGGTTCTGCAGGAGTTTCAGTGGCGAATGGGATATTGCCAAGAAGTGAATGGAGGTCACTTTGAAAATTTCCTCTGATTTTCTTGTTTACTTTAATTATTTATCATTTGCACAGAAACCTTTTTTTATTTGTTAAAATTGTTGTTGATTATTACTTAAAAAATTAAACAAATTGCTCCTAAAATCTCTCAAAATGTTCGATAAGCTATTAAAAAACTTGACCCACTCGATACCTTGTATATGGTACATCCTTGAAACTTTGGAACCTAATAGACAGTTTAAGTTATGTATCGGACATAACGTATACGTAGAATTTGACCGTTGCGCATGCTCAAATTAATATCATGATCATCTACAATCAACTTAAACTGTCTATTATCTCGAAAACTTCCATCTTGAAGGTCATACGTTTTTGACATATTCGTACTCAGAAAAATGTGCTCTATCGAAATCCGTGGAAAAAAATATGGGTTGCCATTTAAAAAAATTGCCGATGACGTCATAGCTCAAAAACAAACAAAACAAAAAAAAAGTCGATGGCT